ACTGTGGGGGCGATATGCTGACTCTGTAAACCACTTAGAGAGGGCTGAAAGCCCTATGAAGCGGTATATAAGTCTAACTGCTATTGCTATTGCTAATGTCAGGAAGAAGAAAAAATGCCTAAGGACAAGAAGCTATCTTAAGATCAAATCCAGCTGGGGTGCACACAACCATTCATTAATCTCCATTGTGGCCACTTTGATTTCCTGCATATAAGTGTACTCCCAGTTACAGATTACTGTGTGTCTCATGATTTGAACACTGGTTCACTGGTTTGTACACCACCATCTCAGCATTTAGGAGTAGGTTCCCATCTCAAATACTGGAATATTACTGCATAATATCATGAAAACCTGTGGCCAAAAGATTGGCCAGTAGAGCAACCTAATATAGTACAGAGTGCAGAGACACAGTCCAGGAGCTGAATGTTTTCAAAGACATAACTTGAAATTCACAATACATGTGAAAGGGAGAGAAGCCTTGCAAAGACAGTCAGAAGTCCAATTCATTATGTATAGATTTCCATCTATACAAAAGTGGAATCAGTAGAAAATAGTGTAGCAGACTGGCCAGAGTTTTCCTCTTCCTCTTTTTGTACTTTAGGAACGTTGAGGTTTTAGAGATGGGCAAATTAAGGCACCCTATAGCACCTGACTTACAATGGTCAAGCGTTTTCATCTAAACAGCTTACAAATCTTCCTTCACCAGACAAAATGCTTTCTTTCCTCTCTTCTCTTCCATTGTTCCCAGCTGTTATAAGTAGGTATTATCTATTACTAGTAGAGGATCCCCTTTAATTCTGAGGCTTTATTTAAAAGATAAGAGCACTCTCATTTGAAAAGGGGCACACTTACTACGGCTGAGTCTGGAGGTCTACCACAGTTGAAGTTTTATTTTTAATTTTTCACAATTTCAAACTGTTGGAGTCATTTTATGACAAACATCCAGGTACCAAATCTTAAAATGAGATTACAAATGTATCTTTGGGTAACCTTGTGTAGTGGATTTTATTTTTTTCATTTTCAAAACAACAAGCCATTATTTCAAAAATGCCCACAACTGTCCACCTGCCCTCAATGGCTTCTGAGCCAGCTCTCAACTTTCATGTATGGAACAGCATCACTGAAGCTGTTATCTCCTTATCTACTCCTTGAAAAAAAGAAAAAGGAAGTTATGAGACCTAGGTAGTCTCATTGGCAGGGAAAATCTAGAAATTGCCAATGTATGACCAAAAAACACAAGTCATCATGAAGACTACATTAAGTCAGCTGCAACAAATTCCCCCAAGGCCTGGTACCAGAACATCCAGCAGTGTTACAAATTGAATCATAAATGGCAAAATTGCCAAATGTACATAGTGATCTATTGCAAATGAACAACTTGGCAAAAGGAGCATCCTTTCCCCACCCCAGCTCATGGAATGTGTTCCTATGTATATTCCTTGGGCTCCAAGCATAGGAACCTTGAAACAGCAAATCCAAAATGATGAGGTATCCCAAATTAGTAAGGCAATGCTATGCCAAGGCTAGAATGTTGATCTGGCAATCTTTCTTCCACAAAGTTCATTGACTCTTGGAAGTGTACTAGCAGTCTGAGTCTGTTCAAAAGCTGCCATCAGGGTCACCTGACCAAAATCCATCAGTCAATTCATAGAGGGCTGATTTACTGCTTCTGCTACCATGTGTCCAGAATTATAAGTACTATTACTATTCTCAGAAATCAAAGTCACTTTGGAGATTTCCTTGCCCGTCAACTCCTATGGTGGACTGAAGGGGGAAATATATTGTGGGGAGAATGCTGGCATACACAGGTGCCAAGATCAAAGATGTATTGGGTTCTGCAAATAAATGTGAGAAATTTGCTCATCCAAAAGTAAATCGGGATTCCAGGAAGTGTTGGATCATTTTTTACTTGTACATTGTCATCAAGTGTTTGGGAAATAGTCTCATGGAGTTACATTTCAACTGTATATAAACATGCAGCAGAATGACAGGGAAGTGTAGGGCAAATAGAATGGAGTGGAACATTTCAGAAAAAAAGGCAAAGGACTGTTGTTTTTTTGAGTGGTCTCTTATCTATTAAAAATGTGCAAATGAAAACTAGTGTAGGAATGGGACTGATGAGAACCTCCGTCCCTGGCCCCACTAGCTTTCCTTTAACAGAGAAATTTAAAATTGATCTTTTCCTGCCCCCGCTCCCCCATCTGTAAGATAAAGCAATATGATCCTATTCATCACATTTGCAATCCCACTGTATTGCATAGGTGGGCTACATCTGAGGGCTACAATAGAAGCAGCAAGTTACAAAACGAAAAATATGTGAAGCAACCCAAGCATAAATGGAGGAGTAAGTAAATCTTACTACACTTTCTTGAGGCCACATTAATATTGTCCAGAACTCTTTCAGCTTTTCAATCTTGCCTCATGGACAATGGTCAAAAAGGTTCTAAAAAAAGTGAAACACTGCAGGAACATCTGAAAAGGGAGAGCTGGTACCAAGAGCAAACACATATCCAAGATCTGAAAGGATGTTTCTAGCTATGGACAAAAATAAAGTATCCAGAGTGGAGATGACGGCAGCATGGTGATGGGATGTTCACACTTTTTGGAGAGACTGGTTAATTAAGTGCCCTTGGGAGGGCTCCATTTCAAACAGCTGGGATCCATGATTTTATTGCTGTTGGACCTTTTGGCCTCTTTGGCTATCCATTCATCAATAAGATCCTGAGAAGAGGTAGGGAAAAAAGAGAGAGGCAGGTTAAAAGCTTAAAAAAATTATCTACAAAAGGTAGAACTATAACTAGTATTGGCAGAAATTTCAAGCTAAGATAGCTAAAACAGTTTTGTTATTGCCCCTCTCATTTGGCACAGTGCTCTTACCTGAGGTCAGATCAGCACCAACCCTGCTAGTGTTTAAGAAAACCTTCGAAAAATGAATGCTGCTTAGCATCATCTGTGATTAGAGTGACCTTTAGGCCTAAATAAAAACATGCATAGTTGTATGTCACAAAAACAATTTTAACAGTCCTGCTTTCTTAAGTAAGATCCTCTATGTGTAGGTTCAAAAAAGGCCTCTGATTAATTTCAAAAGAATCCTATTTTCCAGTATTTTTGCTACAGGTTGAAAACTGATACGCCAGTATTTCAGGCTTACTGTTTTAGACAGTGAGGCTGTAATAACTTAAATGGATAAAAAAAGAAAAGGAAAGCTTTAGAAAACAATGTGTTTGATTGTATTGATTTTGTCTTAATTCATTTCTACTGTTCACTGTATGCCTACAAAAAGGACCACAGTCACCATGGATTTGTTGAAATGATCATTTTGTTCTTAAGTCATAATGCCTTAGTCCAGAGTGAGAACAGCTTAAAAAAAAAAAACAGAACTTAAACATCCACCACCAGGACCCTTGTACAAAAATCAGATATACTGTATAGTCAGTCCTCGACTTACAACAGTTCATTTAGTGACTGTTCAAAGTTACAATGGCACTGAAAAAAGTGACTTATGACAATTGTTCACACTTACGACTGTTGCAGCATCCCTATGGTCAAGTGTTTTACATTCGGATGCTTGACAACTGACTCATATTTATGACAGTTGCCGTGTCCTGGAATTATGTGATCCCCTTTTGCGACCTTCTGACAAGCAAAGTCAATGGGGAAACCAGATTCACCTAACAACCATGTTACTAATTTAAGAACTGCAGTGATTCACTTGAGAAATGTGGTGTGAAAAGTTGTAAAATGGGGCAAATTCACTTAACAAATTTCTCACTTAACAACATAAATTTGGGGCTCAATTGTGGTCGTAGGTTGAGGACTACCTGTACTTTTAAGATTTTATAACTCAAGAGTTTGTTCTGAGCACCAGAACTGAAAAATGCTAACAGATTTTCCACATACAAATTCATTTCTGGCATACTTAATTTTTTAAAAGTTCATCAGTATGATGGGGGAAGTGTGCTTTGGTTGCTATTATTAGACTTTGTGAGAGTCTGAGCACTGAGCAACTCTGTGAGAAACCGGATCAATTCTTCCAAATCACCCAGAGAATTAACAATAAAACAAGAGGTAGCTTCTGCTCACAGTTTAGCTTCTGCGCTAGCCAATTAATGTTGCAGTCACAAATGTAAACAAGAATTGTTGCAGGATTAATATTACTTAACACAATGAGACTTACTTTCTTATAGGATTGCTCTGTACACATAAAGTTATTAACAGACAATAATGACTGTTTAATAAGATCCAATTTATCTTTCAAATTTGGTCCCTAACATGCCACTCAAAGGCCAAGGGCAACTCTCAGCCTAAGAAAGAATATACAACCTGTCCTAAAGGAAGCATCCTACCTTTACTTGGAACTATCTATATTTCAGTTTTTCTATTTGTAGTGTCATGGCTATTCAAGTCAGACGTCCTATATTCTTGTTTTCTAATGTGTACTCCTATTGTTTTTTTAAGAAAACAAAACAACTGGAACCACTAGCTATCACTACAAGCATAGGGAGAAAAATTTAAGGGATCAAAGGGATTTCTGTTTACAGAAAACCCCCACACACAGATCAATATTTACATTATTGATTCCCACCAGCCACTGGAGCACAAAATGGGAGTCATCAGAACCCTACACCACCGAGCTGAAGGCCTGCCTACAAGCAAAGATGGGAAAGAAAAAAAAATACATCAAGGAAGCCCTCAGAACGTGTGGCTATCCCAATGAGGGCGGGCGGGCCCTCCAGAGCACTGTACCGGAACGGTACCCGGTGCTCCCGGCAGGCACCGGTACACCTGTACTGGGGCATACCGCCTGCAACCCACCACTGATATAGTCAATACCCACAAACATCCCAAACAAAGATGCAGAGCTGCAAGACAAACTCTTACCTGTCTTTTTAGGACCAGGTGTTTGCCTTTCCAGTACTTGAGCATCTGAAGGGCTTGCAGAGTGCTAACAATGTCGACAGGATTGACAGCTGTCTCTTGGCTGATCTCTGGAATAAAGTGATACAAATCTATTATATTAGACGGATGGTAATGAAACAAATACATGAGATGATCTACTGAAAAAACACTGTTTCCTGCCCAGTCACACAAAGACTGGAAGCCAAAAGCAGAAAGTTCTCATGGCTTTGTAAAAGCACAGAATACACCATTCTCTGAATTTATCATCTCAAAGGTAGACTGAAAGCATGCCTGTCAGTATATAAGGCAAAAGATTGAATGTGATGTTCTCCAGTCAAGGATTTGCTTCCTTGCCTAACTCATTGCTATAAAAACAGAATCCAACGAATACAAATTCAGCAGTTATGAGATACTATGTCTTCTCTGGTACTGGAAGACAGAACAAAGAGGATAATATTAAACTTATGTTCTTTGGAGGCATGATACAATCAAGCTTTTCTCCTCCTATAGGAAGAAAAATAGGTTGAACTAACGGGCTGGAGTTGTTTCAAAGCATTTGTTTATTAGCATGCATCTATTTATTCTCCACTGAGATTCCAAATTATTTGAAAATTTTGGAATTCATTGTCAAGCTCCAAGGGAAGGACAGTCATAAACTAGATTAAGGATTAAGAATGTGGAAAAAAGCTTCTGGGGAAAAGCAACCATGAAAGATAAATGAGAAATTATCAGACTTTTTAATCTCTGGACACCTTGACCTATTCCTCAACAGGTTTTTAGGTTTTATTCATTTTAAAATACCTCATTTCTTGCAACATGGTAAGACAGACATTTGTGGTAAGAGTATGGTATAGGGCAGTGATGGCTAACCTTTTTGCTATCGTGTGCCAAAAGCGGGGGGAGCACGTGGGGTCGTGTGTGAGCGTCCCCACACCCATAATTCTATGCGACCTCCCGCCACGCATACATGCGCCCCCCCCCCGCCACGCTCCCATCGCTTTTGGCATGCGATGGCACAATGGACCCATTTTTCACCCTCCCTAGACCCTTTCTAGGAGCCTGGGGAGGGTGAAAATGGCCTGTTTTCTGACTTCCAGTCGGCCTGGAATGCCTGTTTTTCGCTGGTTTCCCAACTTCTGGTGGGCCAAGAAGGCCCAAAACTCAGCTGGCCAGTGCGCACATGGGCGCCGGAGCTGAGCTTGCACGCCCACCAATATGGCTCCATGTGCCACCTGTGGCACACGTGCCATAGGTTTGCCATCACGGGTATAGGGAGTACAAGTGTGAGAAAAATGAGATGCCCATATTAGATTTAGACTATGGGGGAATTTTTAAATGTCCCCATTTTCTATCAAATTGAGAAAAGCTGCTCCAAATATCCACAGTGAAGTGAGGGTAGAATTTAAAGAGAGAAAGAGATGGAGAACAGAAAGATGGAGAGATGGAGAGAAGTAGAACCCACCTTTGATGGAGATTTCTTTGCCTTGGAAATTATGCAGATAACGGAGAAGAACCTCCTTCCAGTAACTACGGTAGCTAATAAGTCCCAAGTCTGAGAGGGGCCTTTCTGGAGATCCAACTTTCTCTTCCACTTTGGAGAGTAAATAGCCTGTTTAGGGAGCACACATACTCTTTTGCAATTTGGTCTTCAATATATTTTTAGAATATTTCCACCACAGTTCCATACATGGCTCCATAAGCCCACCATTATCTGACAGCTCAAATACTTTGTGGTGGGCAAACCTCTCCAAAGTGTATTCATTTCTTGGATTTAGTGCACATATGAAATAAATGCAGTTAAAATGCAGCCGTGCAGGGCAAATTTTAAGTTGGTTTCAAAAGATAACATTGCCTGGGAAAAGTTAGAAACCTTTGTATCTCAAGGTCCCCCAGATACATACCCCCCCCCCCGACTACCCCAGACAGTACAGATATTGCTATCTAATTTATCAGGATGGGAGCTGTACTACAATATCAGTATTTGCTCTGAGCTTGAAACAAATCAGGGAGGGTGCACAAGAGGAACCATGTGGGTCAGTGAGAGCATGGGGCACATGAGGCACCATGCTGTTTGGGGAGGGCACATAAGTGGCCTAAGCAAGCAGAGAGAGACTAGGAAAGGGTGTGCTGGCAGGGAAGACTTACCTCAGCAACTTGCAACCTTCCCTGTTAGCTTCCCCATTGACTTTCTGAGAAGCCAGTAGGGAAGGTTGCAAAGGTAAGTGCAAAAGGGCTGCAAAACCCCCAGATTGCAATCACAAGGACTCTACTCACTGGACAAATGGTTCTAGGTTGAGGACTACCTATAAGTTTATTATTTGTCATTGGCTACAATTATTATCTACTGTGAACACACATATAAATATATATACTTACTGAAATCGATAAGCATTTTACCATAACCCTGCCTCATGTACTGAGGCATTGTCAGTATGCAAGAAACATTATAGTTGAGAAATGAGTTCTTCTCCTGAAATTGAATAAGATAGCACTTCAGGCTCATGTTTCATAAGAATAATGTTAAAATAAAGTTAATAACATACTGGCTCAAATCTGAGCAAAACAAGGTGGCTGAACAAAACCAAAATATACCCATTGAAGCAAATTTGGTATGTCTACTCAAAAGCCATTAGGCCTATGATTATGAGATATTCACCTCCATTATGTCTTGGTATGCCAATTAATGTTTTCTGAACCTCAACTCACAGTGAGACAAATCAAAGTTTTCTTTGTTTGCTGTTAGTGGTTTAAGATTATGTGCAAAGCATGGGATAAACTTTCTATAAAAGTTTGCAAAGCCTAATAAACTCTGAACATCCTTTGCTGTGCCGGGATTTTGCCAGTCAAGTCCTGCTTGGACTTTCTGGAGGTACATTTGAACTCCATCTGTGGAAATGTAGTAACCTAAGAAATCTAGCTGTTTCAAGTCAAAATAACATTTTTCTAATTTAGCCGAAGGGTGATTTTCCCTCAGTTTACTCAAGACCTTCCACAACTGGTGGTTGTGCTGAGATTCATCTTCAGAGTAGATTAGGATGTCATTCAGATAAAATACCACACATTTGTCAATCATATCAGAAAAAATCTGGTTCATAAACGTTGAAAACATTGCCCCTCAGTTAAAGAGTCAGAATGGCATGATGGTGTATTCAACCTTGCCATACCTGGTATCGAATGCAGTTAAAAATTTATGGCCTTCCTTGTGTCATGTCCCCATCGGAACCTTAATCTGCAGAGGAGGATGAGTCGGAGCTGGAGCCGACAGAGATTGAGGGGGCAGCTTCATTGGCTTCAGAGGAATGTAGGGAGGAGCAGGCTGAGGCAGCCCAGTGCCCCTCAGGATTGCGACAGCTTGTTAGCAGGGAGGAACGGGGGCAGGATGGCCAAGAGAGGGCAAGCAGAGGATATGAGGAGTGATGGAGCTCAGGTGATGAGCAAGGATCCCTCCTGATCCCCGAGCATGGAGAGTGGAGAGAAGGCGGGAACAGCGCAGGCCAACCTGACAACTCGGGAGGAGAGCGCCACACCCCTCTTCACAAGGCACACATGGGGACTGAGATTTAAGGAGACGCTGTGGGGAGGGGCGTTTGTCAGGAACAAACGCTGAATTAGTAGAGTTTGGTATGCTGGTACAGACATCTGAAATTTGCAGGACTGTTTGCTTCTTCCTTACTTTGTGGACTCATTGTTTGTTCCTTGGTTTGTGGACTCATTGCCTTGTTCCTTTGCTTTGATGGACTGGGCACAGCCAGAGGCTGCTGTGTGTGTGTGTGTGTATGTGTGTGCGTGCATGCACGTGCACGCTTTGCTCTGGGACTTCTCAAGAATATGGGAGCGTTTGGAGGGGAAATTTGGAGCATTAAAGGGGAGTTTGAACTCTCAGCTGGCTGTGTGACCTTCGTGCCTTGTCCCGGGTCATCACACCTTGACTCTAATGAGATTGACTTAGGGCATGTCATTTAATGGGGTGAAAATTACTTTTTGCAATTTTTTTTCACTGAGGGGTTTTAATAAAATGTGTTTTTACACCAAGAATTCAAATCTGCTGTTATTTTTGCAATTGCACAATGTTTAGCTTGGTATTGTAAAGGCCCTGCTCATTCATTTTATTGGCCTGAAAGACAAGATGTTTGTTGGGTTCCTGAACCACATCTTATTTGCGTGCTTCCAGTGCCTTCAGTTACATCATCAGGTCGACAGTATCAATTCCCAGAAGCGACACTAAAGAACGTGGCACGTAAATTCAATAATAAATAAGCGATCTTATCTAATAAGTTGGAATTTGGCCGTTTATATGAACAGTACAGACTTTGGCTTGGGAACCATATAAGATACCCACTTTAGGCTTGGAAACCTAGGATAAGCTGCCCAATCGTCAGCTTGGGAACCAGACAGATACCCACACAAGGCTTTGGAACCTTGAGGAAGAAACCAAACTACAGGCTTGGGATCTTGAACCAAGAAACCCACCCTTGGCTGGTATTGCACAGGTATCGTGCGTGTCCCCTATGGCGATTCGGTTGCTGGGTCAAGTGACTGAACTGGTAGTGACAATGTCACCATGGACCAATGCAATATAATAGTAGTAATAATGTCTATATAAAACAAAAAAGACAAAACAATAATGGAATGCATGTGACGTTGCCATAGCACCCTCCTCAATTTTGTCCCTATTTTTAGGGCTTTATATGTCAGCGATGAAACACCAACCATACTTTTTAGGGGGGTTGAAACATGCTGTTTCCAATGAGAATGATTTAACAGAGTTTCCAGAAGGTCTTTTTTTGTAAAAGTGGACTGAAGATACCCTATGTCTCAAAGTTGCTGAAACCTCAGAGTCATACTGTAGAAGGCTGTGGTATGGGGGTCAAACAAATGGCTATATCTTCGCAAGTATTGTCTCGGCAAATGTAACACTTTATCAATGTTCATTGGGGATGTGTGTGAATGTTCACACCAAATTTCATTGAAATCTGTGATGGTCAAGCAGGGCACTTTTCTGAAATCAGACCACTTGACATGGAACAACCCATTGGTTTGTTAATGAACTTCTTTATTTCTGCTGTAGTCAGTTTGCACATCAAAGGTGCCTCATATACACCTTCAGACCAGTCAATCAGCTCCAGCAGAGTGGATGATCTCGTGTTGATTAAAGGCATTTTTCTTGCACATACAGAAAAATCTCCCAGCCCGTCATTGTCTACTACAGCCTTCTTTTGCAGTCTGACTTGCTGCAGCTGGAACAACATATGACACGGGCCTTTAATCCAGGAATGTTTTACTTTGATGTTGAACCAGCAAGGGTAGTAAGTATTTATGTATTCCGCTATCATTCTTAAGTGTTGGAGAGTTTTGCCTTTAAAGCCATGTTTTGAAACCCATATTCGACAAAGCCTATTTGCAGTTGTCAACCGGTTTATGGGGCCAATTTCCAGAAGAAAGGGAAGTTGTCCTGTCCTATTGACTGTGTGATGCTATATCCATATGCTTGGATCAGTAGAGAGATTCTTTACAACACTGTCATTCATTGAAATGAGAGGCTCACCAATTGAAACTCTGGTGAATGAAGGATAAATGACAAGTTCTGTTGCAGTGTCTAGCATGTTGCCAATTTTACCTACCCATTTGTTGTTAGACAAAGTCTTCCTATCCAATTTTGTGATTAAGTGTTGTAAGGGTAACTCATTTGTGTGGAGTGTACACACCAACCAGATCAACTTCCGGTCACGCTTGACCTCTACCCAGTGCATGGCACCACCTTCACAGCCAGTATTAACATTTGTAGAATCTCCTCCAATGGCCTTCAAACCTTTGTCAATGCCTTTCTTCTTCATGAAATACATATTATCTGCAATCACTTGAGCAGGTTTTCCTGTTTTTGAGCCTTTCTCTGGAGTGAAATGATAAAGATATCTTCCACCCAGCTCACTGTACACAAAATAATGTTCTTCTTTGATGGTATTGGGGAACTGCTGGTCTGAACTGTTTGCTGGGGAATTACTGGTCTGAAAAGTTATATTTATGTAGTTACTTACCAAGCACATCTAAATTATATTAAAGTAACCAACATATCAATCCCCAAGGAATGTCACAACCTTTTAGCACCTGTAATGTTTGGAAATTGAAAGTTGAAAAATTTGACACGGTCCCTCACCATCACAGCATTAAGGGACTTGTAGCTGTGAACAGTCCTCAGGAAAACTTCACTGTTTGGGTTTGTAGTGCTGAAGCCAGTGATTTTGAAGGTCTAACAAAGCCTTTCTGCAAGTTAGAGTCCAGATACTGCTTCAAAATTGATAGGTCCTTAGCTGACATAGGATACTGTCTCTTAGCAGGTATTTTAGCCCCCAGGACCAGGTCTATAGCACAGTCGCAGACCATGTGGGGGAAGGACTACTGCTTCTTCCTCCCCAAATAAATCTGTGAAATCTGCATAATTGTTGGGTAGCTTGGTATTTCCTTCCTTGGGGCTTAGTGCCAGCTGGTGTAAATGGTTTGCTGTCTGGAAATGGTGATGATGGCAATCTGACGCAGTAGGGGACCGTTCTTGCCTCCTAATATATTGCGGGATTATGAAGCTTTAGCCACTCTGATCCCAATACAAGTGGAAAGTGGAGGTGTCTCATGACATACAGGGTTAACAGCTCAGTATGTTGGATGACAGTCATTGTAGCGGGGTCATGGTGTGTATAATCAGACCCGCTTTCAACGGTTGGCCATCTATTGTTTCTAAGTGCATTGGAGTCCTCAGTGAGACTATAGGGATCTATAATGCTTTAACAGTTGTGAAGTCCATAAAGTTGGCTGTTGCCCCCAAATCCACTAATGCTGCAATCCTTTCTTCCTACCTGTAGGTTAGGGTCAAGGCAACATAGATTGATGCAGATGGTGTTGAGCTCTCTTTAATGTTCAAATATCCCCTCCTGAGAGCTTTTTACTCAACCCTCAGGCTCTGCTAGTTCATTTCCTACAGTTTGTTTCCAAAACTAGAATTTCTGAAAAATTTCCTAATACAGGTCATCCTCGACTTACAACAGTTCCTTTAGTGACCATTCAAAGTTACAATGGCACTGAAAAAAGTGAATTATAACTATTTTTCACACAACTGTTGCAGAATCCCCATAGTTAAGTGATCAAAATTCAGATGCTTGGCAACTGACTCATATTTGTGATGGGTTGCAGTGTCCTGGGGTCATGTGATCACTTTTTGCAACCTTCTGACAAACAAAGTCAACAGGGAAGCAAGATTCACTTAACAATCATGTCACTAATTTAACAACTACAGTGATTCACTTAACAACTGTGGCAGGAAAGGTCGTAAAATGTGGCAAAATTCACTTAACAAATGTCTTGCTTAGCAACAAAAATTTTGGGCTCTATTGTGGGTATAAGTCGAGGACTACCAGGAGTTTTACATTTTCAAATGTACATTAAAATGTTCAGATACAGAAGAAATTGGTCTGTTTAGAAAGAAACAAAAATCAAGAAATAAACATGTAAAATGGCATATAAGCTTGTCTGATTAGATTTCAAGGAACAAAAGAGAAGCTACATCCTTTACAGTTCAGTAGCTTTTCACTCCAGTTGTAACAACATTAACAACATTTTCAGGTAAACGTAACCAATATATTTATCATTGTCTAAATAAATTAAACTATTGCATTTTATATAAGTAGATTTTCATAAGGAAATGAAGTTACACATAGTGGTGTGTTCCGGATCCCGTTGTAACTGGTAAGGTGCAACGGGGCCTGGCGTCCCCCACATGCATGCGTGCAGCACACACGCACACATGCGGCCTTACCTCCGCTACTTGGCGGAGCGTTGCGCAGGGGCTGTATGCACTGTGCGCGTGCACGGAAGCGCCGAAGAGCTCAAATATAGGTAAGGTGCGCGGGCGGGCGGGTGGACACTCCGGAGCACCGTATCGGAACAGTACCGGGTGCTCCGAGCAGGCACTGGTACGCCCGTACCGGGGCGTATCACCTGCAACCCACCACTGTTACACATACAGGTAGTCCTTGATTTATGACCATAGATTTAGCAAGAGTTATGACAGCTTCAGAAAAAGTAACTTATGACCTATCCTTGAAGTTATAACAGTCTTACCAACCCTACAGTCACATGATAGCAATTTGGGCACTTGGCAACTGGCTCACATTTTCAATGATCACATGATCTTGATTTGAGACCTTCCCAGCTGGCTTATGAGAAGCAAAATCAATTGGGGAAGTCAGATTTGCTTAACAACCATGTGATTCTGTCAGCTGCCACCCCATGCTTGCTTGGGCTTCGCTGATATGTGGTGACAGTCTGCCATGAACTTTGGAAGAGGGGGGCAGAAGGGAGAATACTTGGGAAACCAAAACGTGATGTGCCTTCTCAAGAAACTGCTTCAAGGTCGCCCAAATGGAAGGAGGAGGTGGCATACCAGAGTACGCCTGAACTGACCATTAGGAAAACAGCTTGCTAGATTTTAATTGGATACCTTGGGGTGGGAAATGAAAACCAATCAAGGAGTCGGAAAGTGGAAAGTATAACATTTGGGATTTTGGCGCACAAATCTCAGTTCTGGCTATGCATTAGTGCAATCCACTTGATCTCTAATAAAGCTATACCTTTCTCAACAAATGGAGTCAAGGATCATTTCTATTTGGAGGTTAAGTGACAGATGACAGATTTACCGTATTTTTTAGACCATAAGACACACTGGAGTATAAGACGCACCAAGATTTTGAAGATAAAAACAAGAGGAAAAAATAGGTTTTGGCCCCCGCACGTCCAGTTTTTGCTCTCTGCAGCCCCCAGGAGCATTCTGCAGGCTTCCCAAACCCTCTGTGCACCCTGTTTTTTGCGAAAAATTAGCCCATTTTTGATCTCCCAAACCCCCCAAGCATGTCATTTTTGCCCTCCCCAGCCCCCAGGAGCACTCTGCAGGCCTTCCAAACCCTCTGCATGCCCTGTTTTTACCGAAAATGGATGCATGGGGCAGGGTTTCGGGAGGCCAAAAATGGCCATATTCGGTGTATAAGATGCACCTCTCCACCCTCTTTTAAGGGGGGAAAAGTGCATCTTATACTCCGAAAAGTACAGTACTTAACCACATGATTCACTTAACTGTGGTAAAATGCTCATCAATTGGGTCCTGTCATGGGATGACTCGCTTAATGACTGCATTGCTTAGTGACACAAATTCCAGTCCCAATTGTGGTCATAAGTCAAGGACTACCTGTAATAAATTTTATGTTATAATAAAAGTGACTGTACATCCAAAAAATTATATATCCCCCCTCTCCCTCCCAATTGTGCCAATATTTTGAAATTTTCAATCCTAGCTTGAACAATTTTTTCTTTTAGCAAGTATTCTACTTCTGAGCCGATTTCCAGATGTTAAGCTAGGGTAGTGTACCCATCATCATACTGTTTTGATGCACAAAGCCCTGCTGATGGAACAGATCCCAGGTTGTTATTACTAACCTTGGAAAAATAGCCTATTAGGTGGCATCCTGTGTTATCAGCTTCTGTCATGACATAGAAAAGAAATGGTTCAACATCGTAATACAGAGTCTT